CAGGGTTTGGGGGATCATGGTGTTGAAGGCGGATGTGAAGTCCACAACGGACATAAGAGTCTTTCTGCTCCAGGTGGTTGAGCGCAGTGTGGACCACAGAGGAGATGGCATCCTCACTGTGTCATTCACAGATGCTGTTTTAAGCTCTTTCAAACAAAGAATAAACCACATGTTAAAACCATCCAGAACCACAGCATTTCTCTCTGGACCAATGCTAATTTAAAATGGGCGGAGACAACGTGGGGAACTGATGATGTTTTATATGCTACACCACATATTGCATCCATTTCAACAACTTGGCTTCATGGTGGAAGAATCTGGGCAATGAACTGACCTGCCTGCAGTCCAGATCTCACCAGCTGAAAACCTTTGATAGATCATGAAACAAAAATCCAGGAAAAAGACCCAGGAACAACTGTAATCCTACAGCAGATTAGAATGGGATATTCTCCTCTAAAACCTCCAGCAGCCGGTCTCCTCAGGTCCTGGATGTTTACAGACTGTTGTTAAAAGATGAGGGGATGATTCATGGGAGGAAACATGGACCTGGTTCAAGTGTGTGACATGTGTTGTTGCCATCAAACTCAAAATTACCTTTTTATAAATAAAAATGGTACTGTTTTAGATTGCTATAACGCTGTCAGTTTCACAGTGACTGAGATAAATATTGGGCGTATGTTTTGGGTGACTGAGTAGAAATGGGGTTTTATGAGTTTTCTTCTTTTTTTGTGTGTGTAGGGGAAAGGAGAATGAAAGCAGAGAACAACAGCTCAATGCTTTATGTTCCTGAGCCCAGAACTTTTAAAGGATGGAGAACAAACCAGATCAACCAGATCAACCAGACAAATATTCAGCTGGGCAGCACCCAAGCACCCAATCTGTCTCCTTCCAATTCAGTTCTGGAGTCCCTAAGTGACAGTGCCATTGGGTACCTTAAGGGGCCACTGAGCACCCAGGTCATTCCCATCATTTATTTGATGGTGGTTACGGTGGGGATCCCAGCAAACGTGGCCATTCTGTGCTTGCTCATGACCAAAGTTCGAAAGGTTTCCTCTGCCGTCCTCTACAGCAGCCTGGCTGTCTCCGACATCCTTCTCCTCCTCTCCCTCTCCTTCAAGGCTCACTACCATTTCCATGGAAACCACTGGGTACTCGGGGAGGCTGCCTGTCGGATAGTCACGGCCTGTTTTTATGGTAACCTCTACTGCTCAGCCCTAACGCTGGCTTGCATCACCGTTAAGCGCTACATGGCTGTGGTGCACCCCTTTATGTATAAAAGTTTCCCAAAGATGACCTACGCTGCCTGGATTACTGTGGCAGTGTGGGGAGTGTTCGGTGTCGCCATTGTCCCTCAGCTCCTGGTTCAACAGAGCTTTTGGGTCCGTGATCTGAACCGCACTACCTGCCACGATGTGCTGCCTCTGGGTTATGACTCACATAGCTTCCTGCTCTACTATAATCTGGTTCTTACGGTCCTCTGTCTTTTGGCACCCCTGGTAGTCACAGTTGTGTGCTTCATCCAAATCATCGCAGAACTCAGCCGATCACACTTTGACTGGACAATGTATATGAAAGCCGTTTCACTGATTTTTAGCATCTTCATGGTGTGTTTCCTCCCTTGTGGGGTCCTGCATTTCCTCCATTATGTGTTGTTATCCGCGAGGGGAACCGAAAATTTGTATGTGTACTTTAACTTGGCAGTTTGCTTGTGCTGTCTCCATGCCTGTCTGGATCCATTTCTTTTTTTTATCATGTCTAGTTCAACAAGCTCCAGACTCTACTTAATCCCTTTCAAAGGCAAGTCTCTGAGTATCTCTGTCTAAAACACACCTGCCTGCTGAGTCTTACTTTTCTGACAGATGATGACGAATGTGTTCTTTGTGACAGAAATTAACTGAGTTCATTCTAACTATTACAAGCCCAGAGTTCAAGATAAGGTCATCATGGTGAGACAAGACAGAGTGGAACAGGATTTGGTCAAACCTTGTCTTCAGATGTCTGAGCAATCAAAGCATGTGTTGTGAATCATTTGAAGCTACTAACACTTAAAATTTTTGTTCAGTAAGGGTAAAACTCGCTGACGGGCAGTCAGTTTTGTGTTTGCTAAGGTTGCTTAACTGTGGCAGCCATCTTGATTTGGGTAAACAGATTAGTTTTGCATCCAGTGAACACTTTCTAGGAGTCCAGTGGTTTATGAATTTTTGGGGGAGTTTGCTAACAAACACACGTGTTACCATACACACAAGCACTTTGCTACCTTCTTGTCTTCAGTGGTGCGTGACAGTGACTTTAACTTTTGCTGTGTTGGCTTGTAAATGTAGCATTTGCATTTTGTTCTAATAGTGTATTTCTGACAGAACAGAAGAATAAAAATATAAATATTGTGGGAAATGATGCTTTAAGAAGTAAAATGTAATGTGCATTTGTAAACTTGAATGATCTTTGCTTGGGAGCTTTTCAACCGTATGTGCCAGGAGCTAAGAGAAAATGCTTCAGGAGTGGTTTTCTATCTTTATCTCGTCGTCGTGTTTTAGACATGGTGACAGTGGCTGATGGATATTCATATATCTGGCACCCTGCTACGAAAACTAACTGGAAATAAGAAGTCATGTAGACATTGCTCTGTATCAAGATTAGCCAGGTAAGAACAATGTAGTAATAGATGTGCAGCTGCCCCTCCCAGCTTTAGGATGTATAAATGATACCTGGAGATGCTGCATCAATGTGAGCTGTTTCCACATGACGTAATCTGCAAACATCTGTCCCTCGTGAGAATTACACAGACTTAAACATGATTTAGATTTTTTTTGTATAAATTGTTGTTGAATCCATTTACACGAGAGTAAAAAGGTATTTTTCAGACAAACATGTATTATATTGTACATAATCTTCTCCGCCTCTTAAACATTCAGAGGATGTTCAACAGGCTTTTTGTGCCAGAAGCTGGACTCGTTCCTGCTCTGCTGGAAGCAGCTCTTCCATCGTGCAGGTTCTCAAGGGACTGAACGTGTAGTTGCATCTGGTTTTTGGGAGCATGTCTTTTCTCTTGGGTTTAGTTTCATCAGGAGAGACTCTGTTTTCTGTCTAATATCAATGGATGAAAATTACCATGATGTACTTAGATTCAAGGTTCTTTAATTCAGTTCCTGTATATAGCACAATGTGATTCACATCACATGTGGTGCATGAGGTGGAACAAAAGTGTGTACACAGGGTCCCAGTTACATCCAGCAACAGCAAAATATAAATTGTAAAACAGTAATAAGGATCTAAGATTTAAACTGAGAAATACACTAAAGTGCAAAACAATACGCCGAACAACAGCAGCAGAAACAGCAGCAGCAACAATAGCAGCAACAACAGCAGAAGCAACAACAACAGCAGCAACAA